AAGTAAGTTGACTTTACACATATTGTTAAAAGTTCAATAATGGTGTTAATGCTTAGTTGTGTGCGTTCTTTAAGATTGGTGTCATTTTGTAATTTCCGATTGAAGATATTTAAAGTTTTAGCAACAGGAACGTTAGTGAATAGACTTTAATAGAATTTAAAGTTTTAAGTTAATCAAATTCGGGGTTTAAATGACTTTCTTCGGAAACCTGAACCCACCGCAATGCGAACTGTAAAAGAGCGAGTTCATGTTAATTTAGCGATAAACTTAAAAAGTAGTTTACCTGCGACCCTGGCGGTTCATCGCCGCCAGCTTCAATGAGTAGAACTTTCCACCCCTCAACTTGAGCGAGTTTTCCTGCGGCTGCAGCGCCGCCACTTCCGCCCCCAATCACCACAAAGTCATACTCAGAATCGGGACTCAATCGCGGAGCGACCCGCTGGCAAATCTCGGAAATTTCGCACTTTTTCCTAAGGAAAGAATCCAGAAGCCCCATGAAGATCACAAATGCGCCACCCCCGCACGTGTCGGTTAAGGGTGGCCCGATGTAACTCTCCGCACAACCGCAGTTCATCTTCGATTCTTCAAATGTGAACCGGTCGATATTTTGAAGCCGGATGAAAAGCCGATCAGATTAACTGTTAATCGGATGGACGACGTTATGCCATATATAAACAATCAGTATAAGAAGAGGACGCGCAGCGGTTTGCCAATGGGAGAACAGCAGCCAAAACTCACACCGTTCGAACAAGCGCTGTTTGAACTCGATCAGAACCGTTGAACTATCGAAACCGTTTGAAACTTTAACTCGCTTTTATTTGTTTAATTGGCCGGAACAACTGTTACGATGTTTTTCATAAATTCCACTTAACGCTTTTCCACTCTCTCACTGTTAGGTGGATATTTCACATCTACAGCTACCGAGAGAAATTTCGACAAACTTTGCACGCAATACTGCGGGCTTCAGTTGTATCTTAACAGTTATTTAATTTGTTGATTGCTATTGATTTAGAGGGAATTTCAAGTAGAGCCTCAAAAGCTCAAAATCATAAACTAATTACATCTGAAGACTAAGGCGACAGTGAGAATTAGAACGAAGAAACGTTCATACAAAAACAGTCTCGACTGCAAAGGAAAACAGGCGACAACTACAGAAACCGTTAAAGTTTTTAACCTTCTAAAGACAGAAGCGCCGAATAAAACATCAATTTTATAGCCAATAAGCTGATGATCTGACAAAGAAAAATAATCGCCTTTAAAAGAAGTCTTTGGTTAAGCAAAGGTGAAGCCAATGCAGAAAAAGATGATGATTATCGAAAAACAATTGAAGAAAACGCACGTTGAAACAGTTCAACACATCAGCAAAAGATAGTTAGTGATCCAAAAAGCTTTTAAGGTTCCTCTTCGCTGGGGCTGAAGATATTGAAAATCGAGCAAAAGATTGCGGATAAAAACAGCCCCGAGCGGACAAAAAGGTTTAAAAACACAATTGCTAGAGCTGTTGAAAAAATTCGGTTTTCCATCGGGAAAACACACAGTTTTTCTTAAAGGATTTTTCGTTGCAACTGAAAAAGACTGTCAATTTTCGGGCAAAGCTGCCGGCTTGCGAAATAAATGGGAAATTATGTACAACTTTGGTCCACTGATGTTTCAAACTGCTGGAGGAAAAGAGGAAGAAATCAAAGCAAGCAAAAAAACCGAAACTAGTTATCTGAGCCTGAGGCGAAAGGGAAAAGACGGTCAGAAAAATGTTTATGGAAAAACAGTGTCGACTGCACAAGAAATTGCAAAACAGGTTGAAGATGAAGCAAATACAGAAGCACGTTGACGCTTATTGGGCAAGAAAGTAAGAAGAAACAGCTTGAAACAATTCAACAAATCAGAATAAAATAGAAGTGGCAATTGCGACTTTTGAATAGAAGCGCAATAAACATCAAATTATAAACAAATTTTGTCCTCTGGGGTTTCAAACTGATCCCATTGGATGACGTGATGGGCATCCCATGCAATGACTGATGATATTTTTCGTTCTAAAAGCGCCTGTAATTGAATTGATTGACCCTATTTTTGCAAAATCACCATTCCGATGCTGCACCAACTGTGCATTTTACCGTTTATTGGTGTGAATCAGTTCAGATTCCCAGGTTCTTAAAACGGCGCTGAATTGTTTCAACATCTGCATTAAATTAAATGCGGATTCAAAAGTTTCCTGATAACTAGAACGAGATTTTTCGTTGGATCATTGGGAATTTTAGGGGCAATGGATCAATTGGATGCGACCATTAAAACTAGCTTGCTAAAATGCGAAGGTCCAGCTGGGTTTTCACCTACTTATTAAGCAAAAAGTGGTATTTAAAAACCAGAAATATTATCAATTAGTTGTAAATGAAGTCTTCCATGCAACCACGTTAACTACGTTGGGGAAACTGGTAATTTTCAAGTCGCTGAATACAAGGATGCATAGCGCTTAATACCTAACATTTGCACGGGATATTTAGTTGAATTCTCCAAGCTTGATGTCTTTCCTGAAGACACTATTAGTTTTTTTATAAAATAGTGTTCCCCAATAGTAGAAGGAACTGTTAGAAAAAGCCAAGTTTTACTACTGTTGATAGTCGATAAGCGAGTGGTCAAAAGTTATCAAAAATCCGGTTTTGTGTTGAATGAATAAACCATCATCTTTATTTGAAGAGCGAAGTTCATCTCGAGTTTAATTATTTATTGATCGTATTTTCGGCTGAATCCTAAAGAAAATAAACACTTATGTTCAAATAGAATTGGAGACTTTATTAATTATTTTCACTCGCAAATTAAATCGACTTTCCCTAACACCACGGCTCGTTTACCAAACACTCCTTGCAGAAATACATCGAAATGTTCATCAATTATGGATAAAATATTTATAATTCAGTGGATGGAAGTCTGTTGTTGCCAAACAAACTCAATTCAATTTAATGTTCCAATTGCGAAAATTTTCAAAGCGTTTACCATCCTTTTACTCGCTAACGACAAAGTGGAGCACTCCGAACATTTAATTGGTGAAATAGAAACAAAAAAATTAAATGGGATTTTATCTGTTTAGAGCTGTTCAGTCATATAAAGGTTCTTTGATAGTAATAAACCTCTGCAAATGACAATGTTTCCGTCATTACTTCCAAGCAACATTTCTTTAAATTCCTGCTCTTTTCCTAAGTTTTTAGCATTAACTGTTGCTAATTTTGAAAAAGTCTGTCGTTTCTTCCGCCTGCATTTTTTTGTAGACCATTTGTGCCACTTGAAGTGTCTGTTAGTATGGGTTCTCTTCTACTGTTTAATATATATCGATCTATCTGTCTGTACTTTTTTCTTTCGTTCCTTCCATCTGTATTTTTATAGCGAACTTGTACGTCTTTTAGTTTGGTTTATGTTCTTCGCTTAAAGCAGCCGGTTTTTGCTTTCAAGTAATTTTTTGGGTCGCATTCGGGAATTTTTGGTTTTTCCTTGGCGAATTTTTGAAAAATCGCTGTTGTCCAACAACSAAACGCTYCGATTTAGTATCTGAAAAAACCCTGAAAACTCCCAGAAATTTCCTATTTCAGTGAGTGACGTTTTCCTCATTTAAAGCGGCAGATTTTCTCTTTTGAGTGATGCTCAGTGCCGTATTTAGAGATTTTTGGTTTTTGCTTGACGAATTTTTGAAAAAATCGCGTTGTGCACTGATCAAGCGCTTCGATTTAGTATCTTAAAAAAATCCTGAAAAATCSRAGAARTTTCSTATTAAWGKGAGGKTTTCCTCATTTAAAGYCGCATRTTTTSCCTCTTGAGTGATRCTGTGGRCAGWCTTGRGAMATTTTTGGTTTTTCCTTGACAGTWTTTTTTTAACYCGTCTATGTATCGCAACGGCCAATCGCTTTCCATTWGTAACTGRAAAAATCCTAGAAACTCRTAGAAATTTCCCGTTCAAGTGAGTTTTTCCTCACTTAATGCAGTCCATTTTCTCTTTCCAGTGATGTTATGGGTCGCATTTGGGCATTTTTGGTTTTCCTTAGGCGAAGTTTTGAAAAATCCGTGTTGTCCAACGACCAATCGCTTCGATTTAGTGTCAGAAAAGTCCTGAAAACTCCACGAAATTTCCAATTTAAGTGAGGTTTTCCTCATCTAAAACCGCGTATTTTCTCTTTCAAGTGATGTTGTGGGCAGGCTTGGGAAATTTTTGGTTTTTCCTTGACATTTTTTTTTAACCAGTCTATGTATCGCAATGGCCAATCGCTTCCCCTTAGTAAGTGAAAACATCCTGAAAACTTCCAGAAATTTTCCATTGAAGTGAGTTTTTCCGCACAAAACAGMCGATTTTCTCTTCGGACTGCTCTTATGGGMCGCATTCAAAAWTTKTTKGTWTTTCSTTGAGGAATTTTTGAAAAACTCGATGACATTGTTTCCCTTYTTMTCCGCTCTTTCATTTGCTTCGTCTATTCGTCGGTAATTTATTTTCTCATCATTTTTGTCTCCTTTCAATCATCCTCTAGTAKAGTTGCTTCTCTTCTCTTCAATATCTACTATGAATYTGCTCTATTTTCTTTTCTTCCATCGTTTCTTCCGCCTGTTTTGTGACTCGATGGTCACTRCTTAARAGCGTATTTCCCAAGAGTCAAAAATGTTTCGCACACTTTGCGAAACTCAATTGCTATAGAAATAACTCAAAACTGACTGAAGACAAGTAGAAGATGAGCAAAAGTTGGTCGAGAAATTTCGAAAATCTTGTGGGTTGCAGGCATTTTCCTCTAAACATCGAGGAAAAATCGCTGTAGAAGCGAGTTAATGGTTTGGTAATATTAAGTTCCACGACCAGAATCAATCGAAAATTCGTTTCATATTTCATATGCGCTAAAGGTTGGAGAATATGAGGCAAGTTCAATGTCAAATTCCTCCGTGAGGTTAACGTTCTTTACATGCTCAAGTTATTCGGAATTTTGCCTGTGGTTAAATGGTAATTATTAGGTGGGCAGTCGTGTATAAAAAGTTGATTTCTTCATCGCTCGATCACTTGGAAAACGTTTGGCCCAATTTTCGCTGGGTTTAAACATGTTCTAAGCATTGAAATTTTGACAAATATCAATGAAATAATCTGAAGCACTTGGTTTGAGAGCGATTTTTCATCATATATTTGATCTAGTTTATTATCTTTAGGGGTTTAGGTAAGAATGATTCTTTTAATAAACTAAATCATTATTTGTCATTACTATTTCTACCATCATTATCATTGCGCATGTGTAATGAAAAATTTTAAAAGTAACATGTTCCTTTTGTAACCGCATTTTGGAACCGATTGCCAACGTGAAACTGGAACGTTGTAACAGAAAAATAACCGTTTATCTCACCTCTACTAGGTGGCTTAATAAAAACAGGGCTCTAATCATAAGGCCGATGTGCATTTTCTCGCAGTTTCCTGAAAAATGCCTCGTTATTAATTAATACGCATTTCAGAAAACATGTAATCACTGCTGCCGAGCAGCATTTCGGTTTCAAGCCGATTAGCAGTCTCTGTTTGAACAGTAATAGTAATCCACTTTGCGAGTAAATAGGAAAATATTACTGTGGCACGCTAATTGATTACAAAATCCCTGCAACAAATTTGCGTGTGGTTTGCTCTAAATGTTTATGGATAATTTATATTTCTCGGTCGTCGTCCAGCGCCGCGGTTTTCAACTGATTAGTAAACAAGCGGATTAGTAATGTTTTATTATTTCGAGCAACACATGGGCGGA